AGTCATTAAAGATTAAATATTAAAGCTTTTGTACTTCGAATATGCAGATTTTAAACTTGATATGATTTAACTTTTTTGTTCTTTTGATTAGCCTGTTGTAGTATTTGGTTATTTAAATGGTTAACTCAAAATTGGTGATGGGAGAAATTGTTTATGACTTGTAATTGAATTCATCCAAGACAAACTTCTATGTTACTGAAAAAATGGTGATGCACGTTTGTGAAAAAATGTGTTCTAATTAGTTATATACACACTCAAAAAAAATAACTACCTATATTTTAATTATTTAATTATAGTGACCAAACATCAGAAATTTTTCGTTCAATATCGCAAGGAAACAAATAAGAAAAACAATTATAATTGTTTAAATGACACATACCAAACGGAAACATTAAAATTAGATAATCAGATAACTTCTAAAATATAAACAGTTGCCTTTTCTGGGCTTGCAGTCTTGCCCTTGATTATTTATTCTCTGATTTAATTTGTGTATGATGTTCTAGAATTAATCATTTTCTGAAGTTTCATCGTTCAAATACTTGAAAACTATGCTCACACCTTTTAGTATGATGAAGTGTATAGCCTCTAAAATTGCATATACCAAACGTGTTCCACAAAAATATTTAAAAAATGAATGGTTTAACAAACAACGTAGTAATAATCCCCCCAGCAAAGTAATAGGTCTCTATCTCAACATAATAAATGATAAAACATTTGACAATCCTCACCATGAATCGAATCGATCTTCGGATCATTATAGAATGGAATAAAAAATAGCAAGTGACTATTTTTCAATAGACTATATTGACATAGGAATAAATCAGGTCAAATACACCATAAAGGTCAAGCAAGTTTAACTGAGAGTCACATGACTTCATATCATGATTAAATTGGTGTGCCATTCTGGTGGCAATAATACTTTTTGAATCAACTCATTTTCAAGCTTTGAGAAAAGTTGATATCAGAGAAAGCTTTGTTGTTCTTAAAAGCAAGAATACACACTTGCTTGCCTTGCAATAAAAATCTTTTGCCCTACCTTCGAAAAATCTTGGTGATGAAGGAGATTGATCACTTCAGTGTGGAAAATGAACTCCAGAAAGAATGGCGTAGGCATCAACTGCTTGAATGTAGTAACTTTGAATTTTTTTGCATGAGAAAGATGTTTGAGCCAATCTAGAAGACAATCTTTATAGATAGATTATCCATGCACCCACCATATATCTCATTTTCTAGGTATTAGGTATGTGTGGCATGTTAAAGACCACACATATGATAGATATTAAAGGATATCAGTATTGGACCAAGTCAGTTATCCAGGGCGTCCTATCTTATTGGCTCCAATCATTTTCTATTCCAGTGGCAGTTATAGATAGTATCACATCTAAGTACATGCAGTTCCTTTGTGGAGGTTCTAATGCTAAAGTGGCTTGGGTGGACGTGTGTAAGACAAAAGAAGGAGGGTTAGGCCTTAAGGATAGTAGACTGTGGAATTCAGCATTGTTAGCAAAGACATTGTGGAATATTCACCTAAAGAAAGACACATTGTGGATAAAATGGGTCCATATAGTGTATCTAAAATGAAGATATATTTGGGAGTGGGCACCATCATCTAGGGTGTTCGGCCTAGTTACTAAGCTTTTAAAGGTCAGAGATAACCTTGTAGAAAGCATAGGAGGTGCAAGTGCTGCTATTCGTCAAATGGAGTCTCTGCTTTCAAAGAAACCTTACGGTAGGAAAAGTTTATGATGTACCCATGATTAAAGGTCAAAGTAAGCCCTAGATGCACCTCATTTGGAAAAGGTATATCCGACCTAAATATTCTTTCATTATATGGCTGGTTATGAGGAACAGGCTCCCTACTTGTGAAAATCTTTTGTTCATTGATATGGGTAGAGCAAGTTGAATCTGCAAAACCCATTTGGATTCAATCTCCAATCTATCTTTCCAATGCCACTTTACAAGCTTGGTTTGAGAAAGGGTAGGTGAATGGCTAAATCTAAAGAGAAAGACTACTACACTTCTAAGTGCGGTGAATATGTGTAAGAGGGACTATAGCGGGGCAAATATGCGAAGTAAAGGTGTGTGCTAGCCTTGCTTTGCACGGTGTATTTGATTTGGAAGGCTAGGAATGAAACTCTTTTTGCTAACAAGGTGACATCAACAAGCAATATTAATTTTTAGCAAATTAGATTGTTGGTATATAAAATCATGTTTAAACTTTACCCTACTAATATGATTGAACATTTGAGTTAGCAATGAGATGGGGTTTCTTTGGCCGTTGCTTGTTGATAACTTCTTATGCTCCTTGCATGTTGGGATTTTTCTTGTGTTTTTTGCTGTTCGGAAATGATTAAAGAACTGTTTTTGTTAGGGAAACAACTGATTTTCTGGGTTGGTGTTTATTAGTGAGAAAATATGGGCAAGGTTTCGAGACTATACATGAACGGTGTAATGTTCAAACTCTTTAATTTGATGCTTAAGCAATTTTTGTCTTTGTAATACTTAAGCTACAGGGATGCCCTTTGGATGTTGTATATATTTTTGGGAAAATGGAAATTAATAATCCAACCTTTTAGCGGTCTTCTTTTAATAGTCCGACCTTTTCGTTATTCATGAATAATCCAACCTTTGCACCTCATCTTCATTCATTGGTCCCCGACCAGTTGATGACCTGCTATTCCGAATTATTTTCTTATCTCTTCAAACTATTATACCATAAATTCCACCTTTCACAAAGATAATATTTTGCAAAGATAAAAAATAACTTGGAATAACAGGTCATCAACCGGTCGGGGACCAGTGAATGAAGATGAGGTGCAAAGGTTGGATTATTCATGAATAACGAAAATGTAGACTATTAAAAGAAGACCGCTAAAAGGTTGGATTATTAGTTTCCATTTTCCCTATATTTTTTTACATTTATTTATATATTTATCATTCGTCAAATCAATTTTGTTCCACACATTAACCGAGACAGATTTATATCACCTTCATTTTCCATAAACAGTATATATGGAACCTTTTTGTGTTTACGAAGGCATACTGCCAACTGCCCAAGATCAAGTTAGATCAACACGGAAAATAATTAAGTCAAAACTCAAAATTGTGTGGTTGATGCTTGTGCAGAGGAGAGAGAAATAATAGGAGCCAAAAAATAATTGATTAAAAGATAAAGTGGCAAAGTTTTTTGAGACATCCCAAAAAGGAAAGATAACAAAATTTTAAGGGATAAAGAGAATACATAGTATTATTTATGGCTGAGTGGCAAGACCAACCAACCCATTTACCTGTATTTTTACCCGTTTTTTTGGGCAGGAATTTCACCATTTTCCACTCTGCTTTTTATGAATATAGATAATAAAAAAACTCTTTAGGCGCGACTGGTTCAAATCAGTTCAGATCTGTAAGTTTAGATTTACTCGAGGAGTTATTAAATGATTTAACATGTTTTGTTGAAAGGGAAAAATGCCAAATTGTATTAATTCAATGAGTAGTCTTCCGGTCAGGTATACCTGACCGGAGCCCCGTCCGGCCTCCTCCATTTGGGGGCCTTCCCGGTGGTATTTTTTGCTCAAATTTTTTGTGTAGGTTCCTCATCAAGTCTAGTTCATCCATACCAAATTTCAGCCAAAAATTCAACCGGGAAGGTTGTCAAATGATTTTTGCAAGTTAACTGGTCCGGAAAATTGTATGGATGTATTTTCCGGACCAGTTAACTTGCAAAAATCATTTGACGACCTTCCCGATTGAATTTTTGGCTGAAATTTGGTATGGATGAACTAGACTTGATGAGAAACCTACACAAAACATTTGAGCAAAAAATACCACCGGGAAGGCCCCTAAATGGAGGAGGCCGGACGGGGGGAGTGGTCCGGCCTGGCCGGACCTGAATATTTGTCTTAATTCAATCAATAGTTTGCAGTTAACCAAGCACTCCAACCTAGCTGGTTGCGAGGTTACTGTGCCTAGTGGGAGGTCTCGAGTTCGAATCTCACTAGGCACACATGAGTTTGAAACTCAATGGAGTGAGTTTCAGCTTTGATTACCCCAGACTCCCCTCAGCCCCCCTCTCCCAGACCCTCCTGGAGTAAAAAAAAATCAATAGTTTGCAGTTACATTCAATCGATAACTTAAAATCCAACTATTTTCTAACTGACTCTATCAAATCTCAATAAAAAATCGTACTATCAAATTCTAAGACAACTACCTTCAAAGAAGCAACGTGAATTATTAACCATCAAACTGCCAACATAGAATTCTACCTAGTGTTGGACTCGGGTCGGGTCTGGGTCGGGCCTAGGCCCATCCGGGCTTTTGATGTTTGGGGTGAAGGCCCGAGATCGGCCCGGGTTACCACCGGGTCCATGTTAATTTTTTTTCTAATTAACCCCCGACCCCCCCCCCCCCCCCCCCCGCAAACACCCAGTCCAACTCAGGAAAAAGCCCAAAAAAATGAAAAAAAAGACCTGAATCGGGCCCGGGACCGGCCGGGCCGGTTCCAAAGAGTGGGCTGAACCGGGACCGCCCCACCCTAACCTCCGGGACCGGGCCTAGGCCCGGAACCATACCCGGTTCACCGGGCCGGGCCTGCACAGTAGCGGGCCGAGCGGCCCGACCCGAGTCCAAGACTAATTCCACCTGAACTTTAAGATGACAATACTCTACCACATCAACAAATTCAAAGTAGACTACAAGTCCTATCATAGTACTCCGTAATTGATAACTAATAACTCGTAACATGTACTAAGGAAAGTCTGTTTAATTCTGGTATGATCTGGTTTAGTCTGTGTAAGTCTGGTTTGGTCTGGTCTGACCTGATGAACATTTGATCAAATCTGATTTGATCTGTTTAAATCTAATCAAATCTAATCTGATTTGTTTAAATCTGATCAAATCTAATCTGATTTGTTTAAATCTGATCTGATCTCAGACCGAAAATGATCCAACTAAAAATCTTGTTTCACTTGACACAAAGGACGGGGTTGAAGGAACGGGCGGTCAAAACAAAGGACGGTTCACGAATTCTTACCAGTAACCAAAGTTAAAAAACCCTAATAAGAACAACTCTGCGTAGAAATCCTACACTTCAGAGTTTCGGCTTTTCCTCACCCGAAGCCATGGCACCTAAATCTAAAACCCGCCTTGTAGATCAGCCGCCCTCCGCATCATCTTCTGAGCAAGACGGTATTAAGTCCGAGCAAAAAAAGAAAATCGATCAACTTCAGCATTCTGAATCAGAATCCGATGACACTTCTGAAGGAAAGAAACCGGGAAAAAGAAAACGCGCACCTCCAATTTTCAAGAAAAAATCTGCCCAGAAACCTCAGTCGTCACCGGAAGCCTCCGACGAGGAATCCGATTCGGATTCCCAGGAAAGTCACAGGCCACCATCCGCCGCCGGCATCACCGTGCAGCCCGATCTCACTCCCAAGCAACCTTCGGTTTCCTCTTCAAAGGTTCCTGGATCTTTGAAGCCATCATCAAGTCCACATCTAAAGCGTGCATTGCATGCCGTAGAGGAAGAATCCAAGAAGAAGAAAAGCAGATCTGACGAAGAAGGCGTCCTTACCAAAGAAAAGAAGTCTGCGCACAACCGACTGTGGAGTAACGATGATCAAATTGCTATACTCAAAGGTATGATTGATTACAAGGCTCAAACAGGGACTGATCCTAATGCCGATTTTGTTGCTTTCAATGACTTTATTATGGATAAATTGGACATTTCGTTTTCAAAGGCTCAGATCAAAGATAAGATTAAAAGGCTTAAAAAGAAGTTCTTGACCCTTTATGAGAAAGGAGATGTCCCTACTTCTGCTAAGCCTCATGAGTCTAAGGTTTATGAACTCTCAGCAAAGATCTGGGGAACTGAGAGCAACACCAATGCTAAAAGTCCGGGTGGTACTGGTGATATTGCCAAACCAGATGCAAAATTTGCCAACGAGAAGGTGAAAAGGCTTTCGGAAGTAAACAAAATAAGCAACTCCAAAAAGTCTATTGAATCTACCAACATTATGGATACACCAAAAGCAACAAGTGAAAAGAAGAAGACTACTGCTCATAAGGATAAAGAAAAAGAGAAGAAGAAAAAGAAGCAGAACACTCATCCAGAGGAAGAAGATGAAAAACTGGCTGTTGAGAAACATGATGAACAAATTGCCGTTGTTGAAAAAGATAAGCAGACTGCTGCTAATGGAAAAGGCAACCGGACCGTTGGCAAGGGTAAAGACAACCATTCTGCCTCAAAGGCAAAAGACAGCCAGACTGCTGCTAAGGCTAAGGGTAAAGACAACCATTCTTCCTCTAAGGCAAAAGACAGCCAGCCTGCAGCTAATGGAAAAGTGGGGAAAGGTGAACACACTGCTGCTAAGAAAAATCTTAACCAGGCTTTTCTGAAATATGGAATTAACGGTGAAGCTAAGAATGAGACAAGGGATTTTCAGTCCAAATATCCATGCTTGCTTAGATCATTCAATAAGGAAAACTATCCATTCAGTACTCAGGAGACATTAGATATGCTGAAGGAAAAAGTCAATCTGATCGAGAGTTCCCAAGCTGATGAGGTTGAGGAGAAATGGGCTGAGCTATTGGAAGAACAAGTTGCACATTGTGTGAAGGCTGCAGATTTGGTAGCACTACAAACTAGATTGTTGTTTGATGCTATGAAGAGGTAACTTTGTAGATGTCAGTTCTGTTTGATGCATGTCGTGGATTAGTATTTTTCAACTTCAGTTCCTTTTTATGCATGTTTTGGATTAGTATTTTTCAACTTTGAAAATTTAAAAATGAGATACTGTTGTTCTTAGAAAAATGCTGATGCTAGTATGCTACTATTAAGTGTTTTGCTATTTTCTCTTTAGTAGTTGGTTGATTATGGTTTGGCCTGCATATTCCTTTATGTGTTCTCAGTTTCTTTGCTAAGCCTTTAGGATAATAATTAAATCATCTAAAATATTAAGTAAAAATTGTTATGACTTATGAGGAACACATAAGACACAACATACAAAAAGAAAAAACAATGTAAACAATAGACAAAAGGCTTCACAGGAAAAAATCAACACGGGAACACACGGGAGCTCGTTTGAGCAACATGACCTAGAGATAAAATGATAATTGGTGTAGGATGGTTATTTTCTTTGTTTGTTACTACAGTGTGCCTATAGACTGATACTGGTTTTAGTTGTATTGGAAACATGCTTGTTTTATTGACATGGATCTTGTGCAGCATAAAATGCTATATTGATTCACTAATGGAAGTCTTTCGATGATCCAGCTAGTCAGACTGGACCCCTTTACTTAGTGGGTAGGGATGAAAGCAAGTTGATTATTAACAGAGCTACACATTCTAAACTGTCATTGGTCAGCCCAAGCATTCTGTTTTTATACAAATATGAATGCTAAAGGTGCTTCAAAGAGTCATCATTATCTTTCACTGCTCGTTCTCCTTCACCTCCTCTCTTCCAACCCAGCAAACAAAGCTTTACCACCCAGGTCGAAGAATCGGTCTTTCTAAAGATACAAGATATATAGAACATAAGCAGGCAATCATACCATCTTTCTTCATTAACAATAAGCTTGCTCCAGTGGCTTTTACCGCTTGAGTGAAGTTTGACCCAAATTGCCTGGTTAAGAACGAAAAATGACTTAAATATAAGGAAAGTAGCCAAAAATATTAGACAATAAAAATAGAAAGTTGATAAAGTTTCGAAGAGACGATGCGGTACTAATTAAGCCTTCTACATTCAACATTAGTATTTTCCAAGATTTACATGAATATACAGCTTCAATTTAATTGAACAAGAAGCCAAACTTTCTTAAATGAAGTTGTTCAATTTAATCAAACAAAAAGGTAGGGTTATTTCCATTGTTCATCTGGCTGACCAACATTTTTTGGGTTATATTGTGGTTGGAAGAAACCATTCATGCATTCTCATTTACACTTGTACTATTGTAATTTGGAATGAAAAAATGTTCAATATACTTGTGTTGGTATGTTTGTTTGGATTCATATTCTGGGCTGGTGTTGCAATGTGCCTAGGGGATACGGTCCCGGGACTGGACCAGATTGGGATATTTTTGTTCCGGGTCAAAATTAGTACTCGGGAGGATAAACGATTCAGTTTCGGGTTTCCAGTGGTCCCATTTTTTGCATTATGTCAAGGAAACAACTTAAAAGCGGTGGGAAGTGGGGTGTGGGGAGGGTTTACAAAGATATGAAAAATAAATAAATTGAGACGGGAACTGGCGTTTGGACCAGAATAACAAATATAGGTCATAAATCATAATCCCCGGTCTCTCTAGTTTCTTAGTTAGGTCAGCCTAGGACCGGAAATCCGGAATTGGCTCTGAACTAGACTATGTTCATGTCTATATATGCCAATTAAAGTTTGTTTTAAATTGAACTAAATCAAAAACCGATAAAACGCTCATTATTGAAACCCACACGTTTGCATGTGAAGAGTAGGGGTGTAAACGAGCCAAGCCGTTCGCGAGCCGCTCGCGACTCGCTCGGTAAAAACTCGACTCGAGTTCGGTCATATTCAAGCTCGACTCGAGTTCGGCTCGACTCGAGTGTTTAACGAGCCTAATTCAAGCCTATTTATTTTAGGCTCGAGGCTCGTGAGCCGGCTCGCGAGCTTTGGTATTTATATATAATATAATTTTTATGCATATGTATATATATTTTATTATTATTGTGATTATTATTATTATTATAAAATAACACCGTAAGAATTGTTAGTGTTAGTCGAGAACTCATATGAAATAAAGTATAATCAATGTTTAGGTTCGAAGTCATCATCATATGGATCTTTAGTTGAGTGGAGTTCTCCCAGGTGTTAAATTTGCAATGCAGGATCGAAGCCCATTTGTCCCACACCGATTACTTCGAAGACTCTAGCTTTACCATGACTCAATAAATAAGACCATCTCCTCTTAATCAGTTATGGGAGGCAGCAAAGCAACCTTTGGCTAGAAGCCTAGATGAGTAGCTTCGAGCCGAACTCGAGCTAATTTCGAGCATGGGTAAATATACCGAGCCGAACTCGAGCATTAATATTTGAGCTCGTTCGAGCTCGAGCCGAACTCGAGCATGTAAAATATTTTCGAGTTCGAGCTCGAGCCTATGTATGTTCGGGCTCGGCTCGGCTCGTTTACACCCCTAGTGAAGAGTATAGGTTCTGGTATGTGGGTTTTCTAGAAATAGTCTATTAGTGAAGAAAAGAAGCAATTACAACAATAAGCGTTGATGACAAAAATATTGTGGTTGGGAGAAACCATTCATGCATTCTCTTTTACAGTTGTTTTTTAGGTATCTTAAAATAGGCGTTTTTCAATAGAAGAAATATAAAAAGAAGCAATGACAAAAATAAGACTAGAGGCTTTGGAAATTGGAATAGACAAAATGAGACTTATAGCTAATGATACCAAAATCGACTCAATGGGTCGATTCTTTTGAAATTTATGAAGTTTTATATGAAGTGCTGAATTGATTGTTTCTGCTAATTTATGAAAAAATATATTTAAAATATACTACGTATTTTATTAATAAAAATATGAAAAATAACTAAAGTGGTCTTCTACAGTAATTCTAGCAAATACAGTTACAAAAGTAACTCTAACTTTACTTTATTATTATTATTATTAGGGCTGAAATTTTTAACCAAAAAACCGAAAATCAAACCGAAAAAACCGAACCGAACGATAAAAAACTTGCCCGAAACTGAACCGACTTAAATGGGACCCGAAAGTTGGGACCCGAATATGAATCGGTTTGGAACTGGTTCTTTGAGTTTGAAAATCGGTTCAAACCGAACCGAACTAACTTTTTTATTAAATAAAAGTTATTATTTAATTATTTTATTTAATTCCTATTACTGTAGTGTACTATATACAGTTGACGTCATAGTATTCCAACCTTACCAAGTAGTCCAGCGGCAGCGCCCTCTTCTTTCCTTACAACACACTTGCGTTTGATTCCTACCCACATCGAGTATTCTTATTTTTAGTTTTTCATCTGTGCCAACTACTTTTCACTAGTTTTTCTTCACCATTTACAGAATGAAGGATTTTACTCATCATATCACCTTATATAAACTCCCCTTGGTGGCTCTTATATACTACCTCCTTCCCAATCAAGAAGCTATCACGATTATTAAGAATAATGAGTTTGTATGGTCAATATTACTTTGATAAAGTAAGAATAATGTAAAAATGATTTAGAGCCACACAATCTTTACCAAATTTGGTATGGGACAATCTTAGTAGGACTTCCCGAAAAGGTAAAATGGGACAATGTTAGTGGGACGGAGGGAGTAATAAGGAGTACTACCTCCGTCCCCCTTGTAAGAGCCAGGACAATAAAGAAGGCTGGGCCGGAGCTCAAGACAAAGCTTTTAATAAATACTAAAAAATAAAATTAACCACAATTAATCGTAAAAGTTGTTACTACAAAAGAGATAATGTTTTATGCTACAAAGTTAATTGCACTCGGTGATCTTTTAATTTAGCAAACTCGTCGATAAGAGAATCTATATCTATAGTGCCAACAAGTTCTCTTTCAATAAAAACCGTTAAATTATCAGCTAGAAAGTCGTCAGCCCTCTTATTTCGAATCACAGTCTTGACATGCTTCATCGCTGAAAATGCTCTCTCAGTAGTGGCCGTAGAAACTGGTAATGTTAATACAAGAAGTATCAATCTTGTAATCATTTTGAAGTCTTCAGCCTTTCTTGTTTTCACCAACATTTCACATAAATTTGCAATAGTATGAACTTGAAATTGAGAGTTTTTTACCACATGAGCATGATAAAACGTGAGCTCACTCATTAAAGCGTTCCTCTCGTGTTGCTCAAAATCATCGGGATAAAACTCCACATCAAGCTTGTATATATGATCGGCATTATAAGATTCAAAAGAGTTCTTCGGATCCAATGCCACACTAAGTTCCATAAGTCTAACTGATGTCTCATTAAACCTTGATTCTAACTCCGCAACTTGAAAATCGATGGACTGAAATATTCGAAATGGTAATTGTGCTCAACATCCACCTCATTTCTTCCACGGCGCATTTTGCTCTTCATGTCAGGTATAACGATTTTATGTTTTAAGCAAAAATCTTCTACTTGCTTAAACATATCCTCCCATCCCTTATCCCTCAAATCCCGAAGAAGAGCTTTGGCAGTTGAAACATATCCAAGTGCAGATAAAATGTCAACAGATTGCTTTTGAAATGTTTGACAAACAAAGTCAGTTATGCCCATAATAGCTCTCATGACATGCAAACCAAACACAAAATTAAAACTTTGAATACTTGAGCACGCTCCCTCTGCTTCATTTCGGGTCTTTGAATTTGCCCCATCACAAGCAATATTTTCAAGCACCGTGCAAGTTGCATTATACAATTCAAGCATACTTAGAACAGAATCATAGTGAGAGCCCCAACGAGTTGTAGCTGAACGCTGTAATGATGACATTTGGTTGGCCCCTCGTCCAGATTGTCGCTCCCCACTTTCCAACATAGTATCAATTTCTAATCTATGAGCATCTTGCAGTATCATTATATTGCGCTTAGCAGAAGACTTTACAATATTAATGACTTTGTCCAATACAAAAAAGAATTTCCAAATAGGATCACATTGCTTTGCTGCTGCCACCAATGTCAATTGCAACCTATGAGCAAAACAATGGACATAATACGCAAATGGACAATCATTAATAAACAATGCTTGCAATCCATTCCACTGCCCTCGCATGTTGCTAGCGCCATCATATCCTTGGCCTCGTAATTTGTGAACTTGAAGATTGAAATGAGACAGGACATTCATAATCTCATGTTTGAGTGTTTCAGAAGAAGTCTCAAAAACGCCTTTAATAGCAAAAAAGTTCTC